TTTTTACAGAAGCAAGTGATGTTTGAGAACTAATGCGTGAAAAGACTCTGAAGATACTGAGAAACTGAAACGTAAGAAGGCTATTCAAAAAAATATTTAAGCTTTTAAATACTAAAGGTGTCCCTGATTTAGCAAATGTGTTGCATTTACCAGTGAGACCAAGATGTCAGTAACATCTTTCAAGTGAACCTTCCCAGTCTTCTACCAGCATCACTGGGTAGTGTAATTTACTGATCACATACTTTACATATGGCAACATACACTAAGCAAAAAAGGGAACCTTTCAATTCCATGTTGGATGAGCCATCTCTTTTGTATTATTATGCAAACTAGTGTTACTTTGTGAGCCAAGTCACTAGAAACAGCTTAAAACTTCCACATCTATGGATCAAAAACTTACATTAAGATTAGGAACTAAAGACTGAAATAGATCATTAGGTCACAGGCTGAACTGCAGAAGAATGTCTATTCCAAGCATCTCCTCTAGAAGATACCAGAGGTGACTGCCCCACTTGAAAAAAAAAATAAATATATATATATCACAACTAGAGCTAAAACCCAAAGTTACACGGCACCTGAATAACCAGAGCTGATGGGAAACAATGGCAGTATGAAGATTCACTGAAACCTGATTGCAGGTGTCCTACAGCTTCTCCTCAGTTTCTGCCTCTTACTTCACCCAAAGGAGAAAACTGCTTCAGGCTAAGTAAAATCAAACAACAGCTGCAGAACTAAATGGCTATTCTTTCTGCAAATGAGCAGCTGTGGTAGAAAATTGGCCCTCTGGCACTCTAGAGGAGTATGATAGTTCTCATACTCTACTAAAAGGCACAAATACTCCAAAGGAATTCCAGTTAAAAGTTAGGAAAAGTTGGCTAAGGAAGAAATGATAAAGGAATCAAAGAACTCAGAGAGAAAAATGAATACTTCAAAAGAAAGTTGTTATAATGCAATTATCTGCATTTGAAATAATTACAGTTACACAGAGCTGTTCTAAGCAATAATAACAATGGACTGCCTCCAGAAATTTAAGTACACTATAAAATGGGAAGCAAAGCCATGAGAAACTTCAGGTAATCCTGCCAAAACCAGAAAAATCCAAACAAAAAACCAAAACCCAAGAATTTGGTGAAGCACCACAGTACCATAAAAGGAACATGGATAATCTATTTCTACTGGAGAACACAGCAGTACCCAAAGACACAAGGAGTTAACTCACCACATCACTGAAATAACCCAGTTATGCTTCAGTATGTAAAGGCACTTGAGCACTTAACAGATTTTTTTTCCCCAGCTTTAATACAAATTTCTTGTGAGGTGCAGGGAAAAGCAATGATCATTGTCCCTCAGTTCTGCAAGATACCCTCTGCATACCATCTCATTTGGAAACGGAAGCTGTTCTCAGCATAAACATAAAGTCAGTCTTTAGCTGGACTTTTATTTGTACTGGTAGCAGCCTGTAGACAAAATCAAAACAGCTGACACTAGGGACTTAGGAAGTAAGTTCCTAACAAACTCAATGAAGTTTACTTTCACTTAGATGGCTTCTCACAAGCCGCTACATAACACAGGGTGTAGCATCTTCCTTAAATATACGAATTTTTCTTCATAACAAGAAGTCAAGGAAGTTAGACTCTGGCATAACTATAGAGAGATTTCCTGTTAAGAATGTATAATTACAGCACCGCAACTTCCTTCCAAGCCATCCATCCACATTCTCCTTTAAAGAGCACTACCCCATTAGCTACAAGCAGATAGGGTTACTATGCCATCCTCATTCAAGAACCCAACCCTAAATATGTTTCACATCAAAGCTGTTTTAACTACATTTCACATGAATAAAGACATTTTTATGCTACTGAGGTATCAGTGCTACAGCAACTTCACTGAATTGACCGAGTAAAACTTCCTATTTGGCATTAACTACGTCTTCTGTTTTTTCTAATATGAATTATCCACATATACCTACAGAAGCACCATCACCCTCCCAACAGAATAATGAAAAAATAAAAGAGGAGGGGAAGGGGGGGGGGGGGGGGGATGAAAACTGGCAAAAAGCTTTCCAGCACCAGTTACATTCAAATAACCACCGTGCAGATCTAAACAGAGCAACGAAAAAGCTACTTGTAAAAGAAAGGGCTGCAGAAATCACAGCATGCAAGTTAAACCCACAAACCAGTTTTGAGCTATCACTACTCAAGAGAGGTGTGAAAACTAGGACAAAGTCCCCATGAAACTAGGTTTTCTGTAAAAGAAGTTTCATGAACCATGCTTTGAGGGTTTCAAGACTATTAAACCTGTCTGATTATTCTGGAACAAGTGATCCATCATTACAAAAGCAGCACCTAGATTACAAAATAAAGAATCCTTAGGCCAGCTATAAGACTGGACCTCCAAAACAGGAGAAAAATTCATCCTGAGTGCAAGTACCATAGGATGATTGTTGCTACCTATCATAAGCTATGTCCACTTGTAAATTAGAATTCTAATGCTTTCTCCCTCAAACCAAACAAGCAACTAAGTTTTGTAACTGGAGAGAATGAAGATTCTTTTTTTATCATTATGAGCTAAGAATGCCTTTTGGTATTCTTTGATTACTAAGGTAATGATCACTGAGGGAAATACAGAAGGAATATACAAACATAGAATGGGGAGCATGTCAGTTCTGGCACTCTCTAGACAGTCAAGAGCAAGATAAATAAAGACAGGAATGATCATTGTGCACAGGTTGGATTTCCCTTTGACTGTATGAGTTGACATAATGTGAGGCTGAGCTACTCAGATGTGTTTGTGATGCTCAGGATTAACAAAGAAAGAATTTCAGAGACAGGACAGTCAAAGATTCTGAGATCTGTACAAGCAATACAAACAAGAATATATGTCACGGTCACAGAAAATGCTACAAAACTAAGACTTCGTTACAGAACAGTACTAGAAAACTCAGCTTATCAACTTGAACAGGACACAACCCTTAATAAAGTAAGTTTTAATTGCCATTATCAGAGTAAATACTAATTAGAAAAAAACGTAAGAAGCATGCCACCTATGAACACTGGTATATTAACTGTTATTCACAGTGAGATGTCAGTTCATAGGACTTATCTGGTAGTTGAACTGTTTGTTGCAAAAGGAAGGTATGTTCAAGTAAGTTAGAGGTGGGGCTTAAGTCACAGCTTGTACAAAAAGCATTATTTTTTAAACATACAACTATAAACAGTATGAACAAAGAAAATTTACAAAATATGAAACTATGTGTCATTTCCTGATGCCAGGAACAGAGACTCCCAACAAACTTATTAAGGGCAGCATAGAAAACTCATCTACACATGATCTACTTTAATCACTAAAAAAAGTGACTAGTAGTAAAACTAATTTTAAAAAAAAGTTTTATTTGCTCCGATAAAAGAATTATCTGAGAAAAAGGCAGGAACAGAGACTTCTGACAGTCTAGAGTAGACAAGGGAAATACAGAAAGGATCTCGACATCCAGCAACTACCAGAGAGCTTTCCAAGGAAGTCGAAGCACCTTTTACAGCAGTATCCAATAGGTCTTAATTAGGATATCCCCTAGCAACTGTGTTCAGAACACCATGCCTGTATACACATGCCAGGATGAAAAGCAGTTGTCTGGTCAGTTTGATGTACTGACTGTACTTTTAGTGCTATTCCAGGCTAAACCTGACAAAGTTTTTTTTCCAGAAAGCCTCCCTTCTGTTGTGTGAAATCCAGTAACACCATGACTTCCTACATAAGCCATATGACAAGGTGTTTTCTCTGAGACTGAGTTGCATAGAGCTCAAAGATTTCCTCAGCCTTCTGCCACCCTGGGCTGACCAAAAGTAACAAGGCCACTCAGCTACCCAGTTCTCATGCGAGAGATCAAATGGAAAAGGCAATACTAGAAAGGGACTGAGAAGGCAGAAATTCAAGACACATGAAGACTCAACCTTCACCTCACAGATGTGGGTGGGAGAGAGGAAAGAAGAAAGCACACAAACAAAGGTATAGCCACACATCTCTCTCCACTATTTTTCGTTACAAATTTGGGTGTGGGTGTGTGTGCAAAGAGAGGGAGGGGAGGGTCCTTAAAAAGGGCTAGAGTAACAGAAGATAATCAGGTATTCAAGCCAAGAACATCCTCAGTCCTGTGACCTTACAGCTTAGTGAGAGACACACTAGTATGAACTTTGGTGCTCATACTTATTTTCACAATCATCTGAATGAAACAAAGTTGATAAAAGACCTTTTAACCCTTCCCACCTTGGATCTACTTTTAATAGAAGCTGAAAAATTGCCAGTTGCTGTCGGGGTTGTTAAGCTCAGGTACTTAAGATCTAAAGAATTCCTCTTGGGCCCATCTTCCCAAGTGAAGGGGGCAGACTAAAAGAACACCCTTCGTGAGAAAGATTAGGTCCTCAAGCACTCATTTCACATTCTTTTATGTGGAAGAGTTACAAGAATGACAGTGGAGCAATTTAATTATTTTTTTTTTCCTAGTAAACTATCTGGGAAATAGTGACACTAACTGGTCAGCTCTTCCTTCTTGAACCTCCCGCACCCAGCCTACAGACTAGGGTGCCCTAGCAAAACAGGTATGAGATCAATTAGTAAGGAAATTACACCCCATTCCTTTGCTTGGTCGCCGTTGTTCTCCCCCTCCAAGGAAGGGGTATGGTGCAAGTCCTGCCCTTCAGAAGCGAACATTCTCCAGGGCCCTGTGCATAGGGAAGAGCTAGCAAGGCCCCTTCTGGAGAGCAGACAGACTGAACAGCCTCTCCTCAGCTCTCTGTCGCCACGTCCCCGATCCTACCCGCCCCCCCTACGAAAACGTCCTATGGTGAAACACACAAGTGCTCCTTCCTCCGCCTGACGAGGCTTCGCGTCTCCGCGAGGCTGGTGGGAAAGGAGGCAGCCCCACGGCGGGCACCCCGGGACACGCCGGGCAATCCCTCTGTTCCGCGGGGAAAGCCCTTCGGCCGCCAACCCTCCCCGGTACTCACAGTCCAGGTGTTTCTTCTTGGGCCCCATGACCTCGTGGGTCGTGGCCTTACAGACGGTTTTGGAGACCGCCGAGCCGG